TGCAGATTTCAATATAAACAAGATAAAATTAATTCATTTTATACTCGTTTTAGCCTTTTCCAAGGTACATCAATGGAGATATGTTTCTGAAATATGCCTGGATGAAATCCTAAAATATTTTTAAAAAAAAAGAATTTGGAAATAAGCATTTGCTTTAAAATGAAGTTTTGAATTTAGATTTAATGTGATAAAGTTAAAATCAATTTTTAAAATATTCATGGAATATTAAATCAAAACAATTAAAATTAAATCATTTATCTAGTTATTATCTGTCTCAAAGAAGCAAGCCAAAAATAGGAGTTACTTTGCTTATTACAATTAATTACAATTTAGAAAAGCGTTAAATTTTAGGAAAGGTATACGAAAAGTTGGAAATGTAAATCCGTTAAACAAACTCAAGTACACATACTGAAGGAAATGAAGATTCCATTACTACAGCAATTCAACTGAATAAAAGTTCTTAATATTTAATACTTTTAAAATTCAAAAATAACTGATATAGCGATACCTTGGAAAAGGGTGATATGTGAAAGGCAGTTGCATTCAACAATATTTCAGTTGCATTCAACAGAACTTCTTTTAGTTCGTATGTTTACAGGAACGAACTGCATTACGTACAGCTCATCTAAATGAAAAGTCGTATTCGATATTGCAATTAGTTTCAGCAATATGTTATGAAAAATTGTCAACCAAGAATATTTCAGTGGTTAATAATTTTTCAGTCATTACAACTAAAATTTCTTCGGAATATAAAGTGCCCTTTGTTCTTCTTAAACAACAATTAATATTGTTACGAAATGTACAGGCGCGGTGGGATAGCTTCCTACAAAACAGTTTTAGGGTTGCCATAAAATGGCAAGGAAACGCAAGGTTGCCACATTTGGCGAAAAATCGGCCATTTGGCGATATTTGACGACAAAATTGGTGATATGCCATGGACGGATGGAGAATCTTCTGGAACGAATTGTTACCGGTTTAGCAAAGAATGTTCTCAAACAGAAGCCAAAAATTATATAAACCCTGAGAGTGAATGCGAGATAGTTAGTCTCGAGTTAGTTAGTTCGTGCGGTGTCAGTCGCGTTGACAGTCGGTCAGCGAGTGCCGAGTGGGTCGTCGAGTGCACTGAAAGAGTCTCTTAGAGTATCACGGTTAGTGCATTGTCGAGAGAGCGTGTTGAGCTCCGGGAACGACTGAACCGAAGAGTTGGGAGCTGTGCTCTGTGTGTCGTCGAGTGCATCGCGAGTTGTAGCATGGAGAGTCTCGAGAGTAGGCGGAGTTCCGAGAACGACCGAGCAGAGTCGGGAGCTATTCTCCGGGGCTTTTCAGTGAAGCTGTCTCCACCGTTATAGCCTGATAACCTGAAGGCTGTGTCGCTGATTTTTCCAGCGAGTGTATAGTAAGTCTTTGAAGACTGTAAAAACGTGATTTTGGAGCTGTCCTGATTAATATTGGCTAAATAAAACTGTGTTTCGATACTTCATCAAGTGTCGTCGTCATTCTGTCCAAATCTATGAACCCCGTACGAACGTGTAGGAAGGAAATGGCGTAAGAATATAAATTTATTATACAATCTTTTGCATGAGATCAATGTCTTCAATCATATTTTTAGGATTGAATTGATTGAAAACAAGTCATTCTTCTCTTTTCTTTATATTATACCTTCTTTTAGGTATAAGCATCAAATCCAAAAAAGGCATTTCAGAATCCGGCGTAATATATTTCCATGCTGTATTTCTACTGCTAGTTGAAAATTTTTGTTCTTTATATAACCAGTTTTTGGATGATTTCCTTTCATTCGTGAGTATATTCAAAGCATACATTTTATCAGCAATCGCATATTCTTCAACAACTATCCATTTATTAAAGCGAAAAACCCATTTTAACCGTTTAAAACCTCCAATAGCTTCCCCTACTTTTATGTTTTATTTCTTTAACTTCATTCAAGTCATTTTGAAGACTTAATGATTCTTTCTGCTGAAATTTCCATTTAACTTAATAGAATTTTTTTTTTTTTTGAGTATTTAATCTATAAAGATAATATATGCTCCCCCATTGCCGTTCTAAAACTGTTTTCAATCATCGCTTTTGAAAAATAAAACATAGTACCTGTATCGTTGAATTTGTATTGATTTTACTTAAATAAATTTCAGGTTTGGTTATATACAGATTTTTTACGGCCTGTTTAATAAGGAGGCATCTTCATGAAATTTAATTGCACCGAGTTTTCATTCTAATGCTGGCCACCATTGATTCTTATTCGCAGAAACATTCTTCTAATCAGGATGCTCTCAGGACAAAGAAAAAGAAAATAAGTGTTGCTGTCGCCGCTAGTCCAACATGGGATCTTTGGTTTTCCGGTCGAATACAATTAACAATGTACAACTAAGTCCACAGAGGGTATTTTTAGCTATTTGCACGATTTCGTATTTTCTTTTTATGTTTTTAACTGCTTTTAAAACTAAATTAGTACACAACGGCTTTACAAAACAAGGACATTTAAACAGCTTCACTGCAGGTTTCCAATTGAATATTGCCCATAAATTAATATCAAATCCTGATATAGTTCATGAATGCAGCCCCGAATATTGCAGATACTGCACATTACTAAATCAAACCCGAATGCTGAATGATCCATATTAAATACAGATTGCCATCAGGTAGCCAAATTACTTTTGGAACTTTAAATATATAATAACCGCCATCAAATATAATAACCGTTATCAGTATAATAACCATCATTAATATAACCTCATCAAATCTTAATTTAGAAGTCACACAACAAAAATCAGCTCTATATTTGCAATTTTTCACAGGACTAGTGTCCATGGTTTTACCAGACCATCATCCTCAGCTTTCAAAGAGACTCTTTGGCAACTGAGAATGATGGTTCAGTAAAGCTTTCGAAATTAGTCGTGTGAAAAATTGCAAATATAAGCTGATTTTTTATGTGTGACTTCTAAATTAATATTTGTTTGGCGTGTTATTTTTACCTGAAATACCTGAACTGGAGGTTTACAGAGAGGGAGGAATTAGTCGAAACAAGTGCTATGCCTGGCAGCTAAACGGCCCTTACACGGGGCAGGAGGCCCTTACACGGAGCATGGAGTAGAACTGAGTTTGGATGAAAGAAACGGGCAGCTCATATCATGCTGCTTCAAGTCTATGCCACACTTCATCAAATGTATTAGACGGAGAAGGATGGCGGGCCACTCTTTCAGCAACCCACGAACAGGTGGTTTCAGTGGCTGACAGGTCTGGAGACCATGCAGGCCAGGGCAGCAGTTAAATACCCTATGTATCGAGGAAGGTCAGAATACGACGTGCAGCATGTGATCTCACATTATCTTGTTGGAAGATGGCGTTTGGCAGACCTCGAAGATAGGGCACAACCACAGGACGTAAGATGTCAGAAATGTACTGATCTACGTTTAAATTACTGTCGATCCGAACTACAGATGTACATGTCGTGTACCCAATGGCTGCCCAAACCATCACACCATGTCCAAGGATTCTATTCCGGTATCGAAAGCCGAAGTAATGGTCGCCATGCTGATAGTGCACGCTGCTGCAAACATCGACGCACTGTACAAGCGGATACTGGACGTACTGCAAATATGCCTATTTCCTGACTGATGATCCGTGATGTGGTTTTACGGTTTTGCAGGGTTACGTTTTCAGGGTTTTTACGGTTTTCGTTTTACGGTTTGCCTCACAATATGTCTGTCCTCTCGGGCGTTTGTCATGGAAGGGCGATGAGACCCTGCATGCCGTTCATTATGACCTTCAGCAACCCACTGTTTCTATATTCGTATGACAGTGGTTGGATGTCGACCTGTATGACGGGCGATATCAGGGAACGATAATCCACACTTTTGATAGGCAACTATCCTACCTTTATCGAATTCCGACACTTACTGGTAAACATTTTTAATTCTTATTCAAGACATAACAAGGTATTCTGAGCAAACTCCAACCTTACAAAGCTCTTTCCGAATGAGAAATCTACTACAAAACTTTTCGTTTATGCAATGCTTCAGATGTCGTTTCTCCCTCCTGCGTAGTCTAAATGCGCTTGAAATACTAATCATTTGCATATCCCAGCCTTTTCTTCTTTTTATGTGATTTTAATCGTCGTGAGATCATCCCTTCCTAGTATTGCAATTTTAATGTCCAGCAGTGTTTTATATTTACCTTACTTGAGCATTAACTATTCATTTAACGTAGTATGCATAAATATTGAAAGCTCTCATTAATATATATCACACTATTTGCGATTCAATTGAAAACTTTCCTTTTAACAATATGTTGCTAATTAAACGAACACCCTTAGAAAGTTTTTAAAATGCAGATTTTTTAAACAATACTATTAACATTTATAACATTTTTTACATTTACAGCATTAATATAATTAATAAAAAATATATATAACATTATATACTTCCGATACATCAAATTTTTATTACATTTGTTTTGTAAGTGCTTGTCGATCCACACTACAATACCAATAGTTAAATTTGAATAGCCTTAGTATACATTTTTAAAATGATCAGATTAATGTTTGAATTTATGTGTACAAAAGACAAAACGGAGTTTCGATCGAATAAAAGAGTGCTGCTAATGTTTTCAATCCGGTTTTCGCTAGTCTAATGCTGAATGACGTTTGAATGTCGAAATACGTCAATATTCTAACTGTCCTTGCATGATAATTTATAATATATTACTTTAATGATTAACGGTACTTTAATGTCTCAATAAAATAAGTTTACTTAAAGAGTCGTTTCAGTTATTCCTTTATATAGAAGTATTTCCGAAGTTCTCATATAGATGAAATATTTTATTGCAAATACAACTTTATTAAGAGATATATTATTAGTATTTAACACACCGTTAGATACCTCCTTCTTAGATCTTCTCGTGAACAAATCATGTAACTGTAATCGATCTAAACACATAAACGTAAAACAGGCAAAGCGTAATAAAAGTATTGGAAATGTACTTACCGTTTTCCGTACTGATAAAACATATACACATGAAAACAAAACTCAAAGCTAGAGGAAGTGATTTCCTTCTCGGCATCATCTGAGATTCAGAGATGTTCTGACATCATTTAGCAAACGGTTGCATACTTCTCGCTTGTGCACTAAAAAAGGAAAAAAATCTTTAATCTACTTCGCTTGAAGTTCACGATTGAACACATTTTTTAGAATCTAATATTACAAACATCTCGTATGCTTCCATTTTAATAAGAAATGCTTTGAAATCTGAGCTGTTACCTTCAGGAAAACTATTTATGCTTTTGCTGTTTCTTAATTTTTTCTGAATTTTTTATAAAGAAAAGTGCTGAGATCTTGAATTTTCTTATAGTTTGCAAAATAAATTCAGATAGTGTGTGGAATTAAATAGCAGACTTATTTTCAAACATGGGGCATATTTTATAAACGAAATCGTTTAAATAAATGTCCTCATTTTTTAAGAATCTTTTAAGAGCTATTTATAGTGATATTAAATATTGCTATACATTTATAACAGATTTAACTAGCTCTTCATAGAAAATATAATTTATAAAAATGACATATTCAGCAAACACGCGAAATGATTATTTTTAAATTATGATGTTTATGCTTCGAAAAATTTTCTTCATTACGATATTTTTTGAATTAATCTGTCTCATCTGTTTCTTACTGTATTTCAAATTCATGAAAACAGTGGAAAAAAAAATTAGAACGAAATGACTAACGTTTCAATTACGAAGTTCAATTACCTTTTGTTACTTAAGCTTTAATTAAGTTTCAATTTAAACTATGACATCTCCTCTCTTTTTCAGGTTTTCGACGTTAAACATTTGGAATAAATGTGGGTGAAACCAGTACCAGAAAAGTGGAAATCGGTTAAGAACTCGGTTGATTCTTCCGCTTATTTTTTTTTTTTTTTGTTTGTCCTTAATTAACCCGATTTAATACTTTTAGTCGATTAGAATATACAGTTTAACTGGACTTAATGAAGCTAATCTCCGACATACAATGGTCCGACTTTTCTGTTTTACGATGGCATTAAACCAACGCACATTCATTTGAAACGACGTGTTTAATTTATAATTTTTTTCCTCGCTATGTAGTATGCTGTACTGTAAAATGCATATAATATTAATGGGTAAGTGTAAAAATAACTATATCATATATGTTTTTGATAGTTCTAGAAAAATACATAATCAAAAAAATAAATAATAGATTGTAATAGAATTGACGTTTCCTTGGGGGATTATAATTGTGAAGTCCGCTTATAAGGTATTTTCTCGCTCTTTCAAGCATGCCTTCGTGGTGTAACGGTTAGCACACTTGGCGTGTATTCGAGAGGTCCAGGTTCGAGTCCCAGCGAGGGAATTGCTCATTTTTCCCGTTTTCTGCTTCAAAATAACCTAATTACTAATTCAGAAGTCAAACAACAAAAATCAGCGTTATATTTACAAAATTTTCACAGGACTAGTTTCGATGGTTTTCCGAACCACCATCTTCAGCTGCAAAACCGCAAATGAACAAGATGGGAAATAATGATTAGATAAGATAAGAAAGCCTGGACAAGAATAAGCAAGTGGCGCCACCTGTTGGCGAAACTAGAACTAAAACATAATTTCTCTAAAAGCCGAAGGCAAATTTGGATAGGAATTAGGATCGTTAACTAGAACAGAAAGATTTTTATGAATGTGAAATGCCTCTAGAAAATCCAGTTCTCCAATGGAAGATGTTTTTTGAATAATTTTAGCAGCAGAAAAATTGAAAGTGTGATTTTCGGACCAACAATGTTGAGCAACAGAAGACTTCTGTGTTTCCTTTTTTCTAACATATGCCTCATGTTCCTTGACACGAAATTCTAAGGCTCTCTTAGTTTGGCCAATGTAAATTAAACCACACTGGCAAGGAATCCTATAAATACCCCAGGAATTCATATAAGGAATGGGGTACGTGAGTATGGAACTCGGAATTTCATTGACGGGAGAATAAACAACCCGAAAGTTAAATTTCTGCAAAATATGTGCAACTTTATACCTAATTGATGGAAAAAAAGGAATGACAACAGAATTTTTATAATCTCCTAAAACAAGAGTGTGCCTTTTAGTGTGTTGAGATGAGAATTTTTTAACTGCTTGATTAATAATGTTGGGTGGAAAGCCCCTGTCAATAGCTATTGCTTTTAAATAATTTAGTTCTTCATCAAGGGCTAGTTTGGAGGAGCAAACTTGAAGAGCACGGAAAACATAGGAATAAAATGAAGCTAACTTTTGTTTAGTCGGATGACATGATTTAAAGTGTGGTGGAAGGCAAACCGATGAAGGTTTACGGTAAACCGTAGTACTGAAGTTGGATGTGTTACGTGTGACCAGAATGTCGATGATGATGATGTTTTAGTTCTAGTTTCGCCAACAGATGGCGCCACTTGCTTATTCTTGTCCAGGCTTTCTTATCTTATCTAATCATTATTTCCTATCTTGTTCATTTGCGGTTTTGCAGCTGAAGATGGTGGTTCGGTAAAACCATCGAAACTAGTCCTGTGAAAATTTTGTAAATATAACGCTGATTTTTGTTGTTTGACTTCTGAATTAGTATTTATTCGGCGTGTCATTGTATCTTAATAACCTAATTACTCTACAGGCGTACACGCCCGAACTAAAAGGTGGTGCATGATGATTCTTCACTACCAGGATTTGGCAACTGAGTCTACTAATCCCCAATCGCCCTTCAAAAAGGGGGTATATAAATCTTTTTCTCCCTCCACTCTGCATGCCTTAGTGGTGTAACGGTAGCACACTCGGCGCGTATTCGAGAGGTCCATGGTTCGAGTCTCGGCGACGGCACTGCTCATTTTCCACATTTCTTGCTTTAAAATAACCTAATTTCTCTACACTCTAAATCATTTTCAATCTAGTACATCGTACATTGGCTCCAAAATGCACTGATCAAATAACCATCAAATTCTTTGATGCAAGAAAATGTTCTACTGGGTACAGAAGTTGTTTTGGTCTTTCAATAGAAGTTCCATTGAAAAGTATCGAGATAATAGTTTGTAATTCTCCATTGCATCTAACATGTGTATCACTCATTGATCTTGTGAATCTCATTAGTCTAGGCAGCTTATCCTCACATACATGAAAAACGGTGCCATTTTTGTTTGCTTTATGGTCTCCGTAGTTCTGCGAGGTCTGATAATAGCTTTAGCAAATATGCTGATTGCCACTTTATAAAAACCCTCATTTTTGTTGAAGAAGAAAAGTTGAAAAACTGCCCTAGCTCACAGTTTGAATCCAGACCTTCCGATGCTCTTTACGGGCTTTCCTATTATGTTACTAAGGCACGCCATAAAGGAGGAGAAAAAACTTACAACATTCTTCTCAAGCTTTTGATTAGTTACTGTAAATGTTTATATTTTGTGCTTGTAAAACTTATCTAACTGAATGGAATCAATTGAGTTGTAAGAGAGAGAAATCAATCTTTCATTGAGAAAATATCAGAATGTTAATTGTTCTGGTTCATCATGATTTTTTGATTACAATTGACTACGGTTAAGAAAAGGGTAAAGATGATTTTCATAATCTTCCTGCAATAAATTTTAGGCTATTATTCGTTCATTTTGTCATATATTCTCCTTGCAACCTTCTCACAAGACTTTTCAAGATTCTCCAGCAGTATCAGGAAAAACATTTTGCCTTGTTTATTTTAATTATGGCAAAGCACTCTAGGGTTATCTACCTAAGGGAATGGAGGCCTTCATGGAGGACGTTTTAAAAGAAACTGACTCTTATATAAGGTATACATGAGGAAAACTATCACGCAACAAATTCGTTCCCCGGGATTCGAAAGCTGGATTGCACTACCAGTGCTCAGTGACTTTGCCGCTCGGCCTTTCCAGAAAAAAAGACATATCAGTGTTGATCCAGTCTTTCTGCAAGCAAACGAATTTGCAATTTGTACTTTAAAAATACTTAAACTTAAGGGTATCTTAAGTATAAACACTTGTATATGAATTTCGTTTTAGCATTTTCAGTAAATTCAATGAAATTTCTATAGCACTTCTGATAATGCAGATTTAAATTTATTGGTTTTAACTGATTATACTCTAATTAATTAGCATTCTAAAGTAAACTATCACATGGTATTATGCTAGTTTTCTGTATGCTATAATCTGACATCATTTAAGTCGAGAAATAATTGCGTTTCTTTTTTTATTTTCTCTGAGAAATTATTTGATCATTATCTATTTTGAGAAATGTGTGTTCGGGAAGCATTTTCCAAGTGAATTTCGCTTATACATTATACATTTAAAACATTATAAAATTACAAAACGGTAATCCAGCTATACCATTAATTTTGAACGAAGTACCAAATCATACTTGCTGTAATTCCCATATGCAGCATTATTGAAGAAAAAAGCACATCAAAAGCCTTCTTCATTACTACCGTCTACTTTGGGAAGGCTAAAATTTATAACTCCGCCAATTTAAATAACAAATTACTTTTATAATTAAGCGTGCTTTCCATTGGACTACAAAGAATCAAAATGTAGCTTTAATTATTTGTGAACTATGTCTTGTATTCCTATTAACAAATTGCTACCATGCAGGCGTTATTCATTTGGTCTGGTGAAAAGCAGTTATGCATCCAAATTATATGTGTGTATAATTTTTCTTCTCATTCATATAGGTTTGAAAAACCGAGAGCTTCTATCTAGATAGAGTCAAAAATCAATTAAGTATGTATAAATAACACAAATTTAAAATTTATTTCTGATTCTAAAGAATATTTTTCTTTGAAAAAGTGAAAATATCTAACAATGAACAGAATATTAGATTAAGATTTAGGAAACTGTTCTTTGATATGCAGTTGGAGTTCTTTGATATGCATATGGAGCACTTCTACATATGACGCTCTAATTCGGTGACTGTAGAAGATGAACTTCATTATTCTTGCCTGGTCAGAAGGTTCCCAGCATATGTTTTAAAAAGCTACAAAATCTATTCTCCGTAAACGACAATTACTTATACATGAGGTACTGCTGTTAAAACATTCTTCTGAAAATTTTGATTTTATGAAATAACTTCAAAAGAAGCTAATTTCTTAGAGCATTACGTCACGTTAAATTACGTTGCCA